ATGACTGTTTGTTAAATTAAATAATGTACTTAATTTTAGTTCTAATGAGGAAATGACCAAGCTGGCATCACTTCCAGAGAAACCTGAAAAGGAACAAGGTGGGATGCTGTGGTAGCCACAGAGTGTGCCACTCAGATCCTTTTAGGAGCATCTGCTGCAGGAGCCCAGATGCCACCCATTGGACCCACCGTGGCACAGAAACAGAGGCTACGCTCTGCCAACTGTCCCCAGCCAATGACTATGACACAGGTACCAGAGACCATCCACTCCTACCTGAAGTACAATTACTACAAAGGACCGCCTTCATTTGGAGACTCTCCATGAACCTGGCCAAGATTTTCTCAGAACTTTGCTGAGGACTGAGACTCTTTCAACCCAATCTTTCCTTCCCTCTCTACTCTCATGGGTGTCAGACCTGCATTGCAATATGATGGTTCTCCCTGCCTGCTCTCATTTTGTCCTTTTTTCTTCTTCATAGACATTTCCCTGAATAAATCTTTTGTATCTCTGATCCCATCTTGGGGTCTGCTTCTCAGAAGACCCCACTGATGGGGGGGGGGTTCACCTGGGTGACTCAGTTTGTTAAGCATCTGACTTTGGCTTAGGTCCTGATCTTATGATTTGTGAGTTCAAGCCCCACGTTGGGCTCACTGCTGTCAGCGCAGAACCCACTTTAGATCCTCTCTTTTCCTCTCTCTTCATCTTCCCCACTCATTCTCTCTCTCTCTCAAAAATAAATAAAAACATTAAAAAGAAAAAGAAGACCCCACTGACATAAGCATAGAAACAGATCAGGAAAAGCAGTTGAAAGAGAAAAGTTCAGGCTAGAACCAGAGACAATGTTCATCCACCTCTGGCTAAAGTCTCATCTGTACCTTAGAGCAGAGAAGTTGGTAATAAACCTTATAACCTACACGAGGCTTGAATATGATTTATTACTTAGAGTTGTGTATGTGACACGTGTGTGTGCACGTATGTGTGTGCATATGTGCTGAAGCGAACTGTTTGTTGGGTGTAAATTTATGTAATTCATGTGGATTCCCTTCTTCTCAGCTAATTTTTATTGCTGCTATCTTTGTGTCTCAAGATAAAAAGAATCATTTTGAGTCTTTGAAGAGGGATGCATGAATTAGCTTGGATTCAAATGATGTCTAAATAGTAGAGGCAGGAAATAATTATTTTAACAGTTGGAGTCCAAGTTCCTTTTAGGGCAGGATGGCCTTTATTTAGAAAATATTCCATGATCCACTTTGGCTGGAGAAGATGAGTTTCCAAAGGCATGGTCTCCAATACTTGAAAACCCTGGTAAGTCCCTCTGCACAAGGTAGGATCAGGAGTTTGGGAGAGGGATAAAAGTCAAAGAGGGGTCTAGAGAAGTTGAGGGGGTATTTTCAGGCGGCACAGTGGTTGTGGAGCCTGAGAAAAAGTGACTAGTGAGGGGTTCCCAGGGGCAGGTCGCTCATGTTGCTTCAAAAACAACATTCCTGTATGTCCCCCAGACTTCCAGAACTTACCACCATTTATACAAGTGGCTTGTATAAATTAGGGGAGAGAAAAATCAAGGCGAGAGAAGAGACCCTGTAATAGCCCTAGGAGATGAGCCCCATGAGGGTCCCAGAGGAGTGAGAGGTCAAATCTGCAGTTGCCATGAAGTCAGAAACTGAATTCTCAGAGCTCTTGAGATAGCACCACTATGGACGGGGGGACGAGTTGGATCTGCCCAAGGGTTAGAAAATAAGTTTTTATTTGGGGTGACTATACCCGTTCAGGAAGTACCAGGTAATTTCCCCACCATGCAGCACCCTCCCATAGTCTGTCGCCATTTAGGCAAACATTCATCCTATTATTTGCACTGAATGTTCCTATAAACCCTTATCATGGTACCATATATTAGCTTCAAGGTATTTGGGAAGTTCAAGGCAGTGGATACTTACAGCTACATAGATAGTAGGCAAAAACATGTTAATTTTTTACTTTCTAGATTTAGGGAATCTACTTTTTATATTTCTCCCACCTTTCCTTTGGCTGTAGTGTGTGTGTGTGTGTGTGTGTGTGTGTGTGTGTGTGCATACACGTGCATATGTACACAAGAGTGCTAGAGGGATTTGGGACAAGAAGAAATACCTTTGCAGAGTCTTGAATCTCAGCAGCTGTTACACAAAACAGCGACAAATCCTGGCATCCTGGAGCAGGAATAATGAGCTGGCCAAAGGCCACCAATAGTCCAGCAGACCAAGAGAGACGCATGAAAAATTTCACATCACAATGACCTTGGGAAAACCTAAATCCACTAGCAAATAGCTTGCTACCTCAGGCGAGTTGTATGATAAACTCTCTGTGCTTTAGCTGCTTCTCCTGAAAATGGGGATAAAAGAATCCACCTTTTAGTGTATTGTCAGAATTAAATGAGTAAATATGCATAAAGCACTTGGAATAGTGCCTGACACACTGCAAGCATAATGCATGTGTTAGGAAAAACAAAAAAGAAATGGAAAGGGCAGTCCATTGCCTTCTGAAAGAACATTTCAGAGGAGCAAGCGGAACCAGAGTTGATGCAGTTAGCTCTTAACATCCAAGAAATAAAGTCCAGCAAGAAACAGGTTAAAAATCACATGCTCAAAGTGAACCACTTATACATGGACTGGCTCATCCTTTCAAATGGATATAGAACTCCTACCTAAAGGGAAGAAAAAAAATTTGATTTGGGGCTCTAGAAATAGGAATATTTCCTAAAAATTTACTGAGACCAGAAATAGGTAAATGATTTGAGTAAACGCTTCTTTTAAAGCAATTAAAGTGACTTGCAAACTGTTTCATTATGATGAAAATGGATATCCTTCTTAATAAGAGGGTTTTTAACAGATGTATTTTTTAAGATTAAATTCTTTTAAAATCCTTTGTTCCATCTTGTTACTTGAGCAAATTTGCAGACAATGTTTTCATTCATTTCTTTTATTATTCATTATTCATCATTATCAGTGTGTTATAGAAAAAGTCCAGGAGGCATCCATAGTAACTATAATTAAAAACACTTATTAAGCACTCAACACAATTTAAGCACGGTGTTAATCTCTTTACTGGAAATGCAGGGTTTAAAAAAAATCCATGCATACAATGAAGACACCAAAGTTTACATTGTAACCATGACATCCACCCTCAACCCTGTGCTCATATATTTAGCAGCTCACCTGACATCCAAGTTGGATGTCTGATGAGCATCTGAAATCTGGCATGGCTAAACCCTGTCCTCCCTCCTCAAATCTGTTCCTCCCAGTGCATTCCCCATTTTAGTCAATGGCATCTCCATCCTTCCAGGTGCTCTTGTCAAAGCCCCAAGAATCTTTCCTTCCATTCAGATATTCATTCTCCGCCCACACGGTCCACGTGTGTGGCAGAGGCTGGCTTCGCACCTTGTCCAGGAGTGCACCCTGACTGGTGTAAGCCAATCGGCACATTCCATTTCTCAGGCCACTGGCCAATCAGAGTGAACCTCAGAGATTTTGTTTGGGAAGATGGGGAGGAAGATGCACTTTGTGTCTCTTACTGGATGTGAAAGAGAAGGTCTGCATGGCCCCAGTTGCGGTAAGTGGCCCTTCTTCAACTGGGACAGGAGCTTGCCTTGGTATGAAACCATTAGGCACCATAGACAAGAGAGCACAGGAACAGAAAAGAAGCGGCTCTTGAAAAGGTCATTAAGTTGTTAGATCAACCAAACCTGAAGCTTCCCTACCCCTGGGCTTCCCAATCATGTGGACGAATACAGTTCCCTATGGTTTATGCCAGTTTGAATTAGAGCTTTATGTTCCTGCAAGCGAAAGCATCCTGATCAATACAGATTAATAATTCTCAGAACAAGTCTTCATGTGTTGATCAACTTGCCTATACTTTGGCGAAACACAGAATGAAAAGCATGTTCACATCTCCGTGGCTTTGGCTGTATTGTTCCCTCTTTCTGGAGTGCCCTACCTGTCATGTCCTCTTGGCAAATCCCCACTCACCTTTTAAGACCTTTCTCTTTTAGGATATTAGTGATTGGACATGGCCTAATTTTAAATACCTGACTCTAGTGGAGTCATTCATTCTTTTCATTAGTGAGTTGGTCATTCAGAAAATATGTATTTGATATCCTACTACATGCCAGGCCTTTGCCAGATACATACAACATGTAACCCCCTTAATGAGAGATATGCAGACAAGTAAATAAGCAATTATGATATAGAGGAATAAGTGCTGAGATGGGGGGAGTTCTGGGTGCAACAGTAAGGCAGTGGGACAGCCTCTAATCCAGTCTTAGGGGATATGGCAATGGATGTGAAGAAAGCTTTCCTGGAAGAAATGATGTCTACACACAGATTTAAGAACCAGTAGGAGTTACACAGACAGAAAGACAAGGGAAAACACATCCTAGGGAGTGGAAGGGTTTGTGCAAAGGTCCAGCACCATCCAAGATCAAGGTCCTTTTGGACACGAGAAAGCAGATTTCTAGAAGGAATATGGTGAGAGAGAATGCTAGAGTCTTTGGTTCCTGGAGAACACTGGGAGGATTTTTGATTTGTGCTTTTTAGAAAGATTAAAAAGGCTGCAGACAGGAAAGGAGCCTGGGGGGACCCCACTGGGAGCAGGGGGACTGGTTAGGAAGCATTGGATCTGCTATGTCCTTTTATCCTTCTGTGTCATCTTTTCTGAGATGTCTGATTACCCCCAACAAATGTAAAGATGGGAAAATGATAAAGGTTGGTACTTGGCCATGTGCACACTGGGAGGGGATCATCTTGGATCTGGAAGTCTGCCTTACGTGATCAGAATGACATCAGTAATATTAGCAATGGGCATGATGCCAGTGCCAAGTAAACAATATTCTCAAAGCTCAAATGCCACATAATAGGTATGTAACCAGCTTCAACAGTCATTTATGGTTCTTCAGACCAACTCCAGAATTTGGATTTTAATCACATTATACAAAAGTTATATTGGAAAAAATGGACATGGTGGCAAAGGAATGGATTGCTTCACCAGTAGATTTTATTAGCAGTAAGGTGCCGTGGTCACATGTCAGCTGCTCCTAACACGGGGTAAGAGTGAGCAGAATATCTTCCCTCACAGTTTCTTTACTACAGAAATTGAACCTGCAGAGACAAAACAACAGAAAGTCAGCTTTTCCTGCTACCCGGCTGGTGTGTTGGAGCATAAAGACAGACTCTATTCTCCCGAGTCTGAGCGAGAGCCACTCCATGTGCCCGAGAGCAGACATTGGCCAAGGGAAGACAGGCCTCTTCTGTATAGAGGACTGAATTCTCCTTTCCAGTGCTCTCATGGCTGTGCAATAGCAGAGGGAGGCGGTGTCATTGGATGTCCCTAAAAACAGAGAGTGTTCATTTGTCATATCCTAAAAACACCTACTAAGCACTTGGCATGCCGTCAATCGACGCAACTGAAGAAAAGTAGGGTCAGCGGTATGATGAGAAATCAGCCAGAGGGATATTTCTGAGGTCCTGGTGTTACATTCACTTATTTCAATTCAATAATCGAATTGAAACTGACGAGCATTACCCATGAGACTAGACAATGCTCAGTTTGCTTGGAAGCTAATTTTCTTTAATAACATATAGAAGCATATGTCAAGTGCCTGGCACAGACAAGGTTCTGAGAAGATGCCTTTTCTCTTCATCTCCATTTCCTTCCCTGTGGTCTGATGGCTGGAAGGTTCTCAAACAGCGCATTAAAGGTTAAACACTAATCTTGATGAAGGACACAAGAGATGAAGGGCGCACACACTATATATAAATAAAGGTGAGCTGAATTTTTTTGGTGGCAGTTAGCAACTTGCTGAAGTCAGATTTCCTGCCCACGAATTATGGCATTGGGCCTTCACTGAATTATCTTCTCAGGGGATGAGAGTAGTCCCCCCATCCCATCCCCACCATCAAGAGAGTAAACATATTCATTGTCCCCAACTACTCTCCTGTGGCTTTGTAATCTCTCCTTCCCATCGCCTCCTATCTCTCCTCTCCCCAGGCAACCAGTGATCTGCTGTCACACACAGTTGCTAAATGAAATCATTCTTTTTAACTTAGGGTCATGAAGCCAGATTCTCATTTTAACACATGTAGCAAATAACACATACCCATCTACAAATCTCTCAAAATTATCCCCTTAAAATTCTGCTCTTTTTAGCAAAGAAACAGAAGCAATTGGGAAAGCAATTGTGACCATGACGTGGGAGAACAACTATAGATTTAACTTAAAGTAGGCTTTCAGTGGGAATAGGATTACAAAAATGACGCGGCGCGGCAAATCTCTTTGGATTTTTATTACTTACACTTTTCCGTCGTTTCTTTCCACCATGATCTTGGACGCTCCCACTCTGGGTAGAGTTGGGTTGATCACCCGGTTGTACCAGATAAATTTAACCTTCTGCAAATCTCCAACATCCACATCAGAGTCAAATTCGTTGGAGTGAGTGCTGTCGGGGTGGAGAGTGCCCCTTGGGAGTTGAGAAGTTAATGAAAACGTTACGTGAACATACAAAAATATACACATCAATATATACATATAGGGTCCTAAAACCAGCTCACAACGCAGCTCTAGTAAGGTGACTGGTAGTACGTTTGCCATCCGAATGTGTTAAGTGATGCAGACAGGTATGGTAACTCAGTGGCAGGTCATTTGCCAGCAATAACTCGTATTGCTTTAATGTCATCCTTACTTTCATAAAATTTCAAATATGTTTTGGTCACAATTCTCCCACAATTTAATAAGTGATGACATCATCATATCGTCTTCTCCCGGTTGTTTTGTGGGCAGGATACTTATTTACTGACTATAAACCAGATGCCACGCATCAAAACGGACATCAGTGGTTTTCTCAGGAAACAGCAGAGAAAAAAAAAAAAAAATTCCGAAACAGAAATGTATTCTGAAATGTATTAAGGTGCAAGGTAAAACAAACAGCTTAGAGTAATATTTTACTCACTTGAAAATTTCATATTGTTTAGAATTCCCTTTATTTCCAAACAAGGTCACTAGCACGTGTCCTGTAACCTTCCTTCCAGACAGCGTGACAGCTACCTTATACCTCCAACCTGCACAGGGTGAAAATATTTGCAAAATGTCAGCTTGTGCAGAAGATATTCTGAAAACAGGCTTAATTGGATGCCACTGCTGCTGAATTTTGAGTAATTTATATATAGTATTGTTTTTTAAATTATTTATTCATTTACTTTGAGAGAGAGGGAAAGCACGAGTGGGGAGGGACAGATAGAGAGGAAGGGAGAGAGAATCCCAAGCAGGCTCCACACTGTCAGCACTGAGCCTGACACAGGGCAGATCTCACCAACCTTGAGATCATGACCTGAGCCGAAATCAATAGATGGATGCTTAACCAACTGAGCCACCCAGGTGACCCAGTAGTGGCCGTTCTTCTAAGCAGATAGATACTCCTTTATCTAAATGTTCAGAAGACAGATGTGGGGGCAGGGCAGGAGTACAGAATCATTCCAAAATCAAGAAATTTCAAGTAAATGTAAGTAAGTCATATATTTTGCTTTCAATTTCTTGACCTAGCAATTTGTTTTTGAATATTCTAAGAACTTTACGTTAAAAGAAAGCGGGAAAATGGTAGAGTGTGACATTTTCATCAATTCCTTTTCACAGGTCTAAGTTGTCTACACTTATTTAAAAAATTCTATAATTCAGCTTTCCATTGCCATTGGAAATGTATTAAGTTATGGTAACCACTCTATGGTACCAGTCCATACTTAACTAGCAGTTTATGCCATTTAGAGCTAGCCTGGGTCAAACTGAGGAGGGGATTAAACTTGGCTTTAGTTTTTACAGTGCGGCCAACCCCACTGGCTCCAATAGTTTTCTTCCTCTGTGACCCAGGAAGGAAACCTGGGGGCTGTCCCCATGCCTTACCATCCCTGCACCCTCTAATTCCTATCACCCATGGAGGCTACCGCCCTAAACAGCTCTTCGATCTGGCAACTCCCTTCCATTCCCACAATCTCTGCCACCTCTCTCCTGGATTACTTTTCTGCTCGTACAAAACCTCAGAATTTTCTTTAGTGAAACTTGGAAGAGTCTGGAGCAGAAGAAGCCCCCTGAATTCAGCACCAGAATCGAATATGAAGGAATCAATCTTGGTATCATTTTTAGTTCAGGCCCCCAAAACTCTGTTCTGTTGCCCCTGTTGAGCCCGAGTTACATTGAGCATGACAGCTTTTGAATATTTTTCCATGTTTGGGAAGAGAGTTTCCAACTTTTCTGCGGAAGAGCAATTTCACACATTTTCACCAAACATGATAAAATACAGAGCATTAAGGATTTAAGACAAATATAGTAGAGACTTACGGGCAAAGTTGGTGGCATCACCAGTGTTTAGATAAAATATCTGGCCCACCCCGTTTGTTTTTCCAGGAAATCTGTCAGCATAATGACCCATCTGTGGGCAGCCTTCACTGGGGCAGGGGAAGCACTTGTTCTAGGGGAAATTAACAAATGATGACTGAAGTGCACCCTCTTTTTCCACGTGTTATTGCAATTCAAACATTCTAAAGCCAATTCTGTACTGATGGCAAAAGAGGATTTTCATAGTATCTCAGCAAAGGTTAAAAAGCATTTCGTTAGTTACAATGATAAACCAGTGATTTTACTGTCCAATGACACGATACTAACAAAAATATTATAGAAATCATACGAAAAGGGAATTTAGATATATATTTCTACATATATTTTAATCTTGTCTCTTGCCTTTGTAAGTTGCTCAAGTGGCCCCCAAGACATCCATCTGCCTCCAGGGGTTAGAATTTATTTTAGAAAGATTGCAAAAGGAAGAGCAGAGGGGATGAGGCGCTCTGATATGCAAAATCGGGCCCATTAGTAGGATGAAAGACTCAAAAGTCAGGTTTTTCCCAAAATTTTTAGCTTCCACTTAGCATGTTAAGGTCTGAAGGATTCAGATCTAAGAGTTTTCCCAATGTGAGCAGAAAATGTCCCAGTTGGCCTTTAAGTCGTAGCTGTGAGGTTGGGGTGTGGAGAAGATATATATCACATAGAAAAATGTCCTCTTTCTGGGTCAAGGAATTATGGGAAGAAAAGGGAGAGGGAGAAACACAATGGGAGAGACAAACAGCACAACTCCTGCTATGGAGGGGCAAGCCTGCTCCGCAATGGAGGCGAGGGGCAGTCTCTTGGATCAATGAACCAGATGGGGACTGGGCCAGAGTCGGGGTCTGCATCCAGCAAAAACTAAGGGGAGACTGAGCCAGTCAGGAAGAAATGGCCAGAGCTATCTGGGAAAGTTGGCCAAACCAGAAGAGTATATGTGCTGAGACATTATCTGCAGACACCAGCCGCATGCTCATCAAAAATGCAGACCCCCAAGTTCTCCCCTCTGCCCTGCACACAAACTGACCACCACCCCCGTGATCACTGTGCCAATACCAGCTTGGGGAGAAACTGATGAAGGGGTCCAAAGGCTGGGATATATGCAAAACTGGTAACATTTCCTTTTTTTTTTTTTTTTTAAGTATTTATTTATTTTTAATGTTTTTATTTATTTTTGAGAGAGAGACAGAGTACAAGCAGGGGAGGGCAGAGAGAGAGAGGGAGACACAGAATCCGAAGCAGACTCCAGGCTCTGAGCTGTCAGCACAGAGCCTGACATGGGGCTTGAACTCATGAACCACGAGATCATGACCGAAGTCAGACGCTTTAACGGACTGAGCCACCCAGGTGCTCTAACTGATAACGTTTTCTTACAGAAGTATCTGAGTGGGATGCCTGGGTGGCTCAGTAGGTTAAGTGGCTGACTCTCAATTTCAGCTCAGCTCATGATCTCTTGGTCTTGAGAGCCCCATGTTGGACTCGGTGCTGGGTGTGGAACCTACTTAAAATTCTCTCTTCCTCTCCCTCTCCCCCTGTCCTTTCCCTGCTAGCATGCACACTTCATGCACAAGTTCTCTCTCTCTCCCTGCCATCATCAAAAAAAAAAAAAAAAAAAAAAAGTGTATGAGCATCACTTAAAAGGTCTAAATATATTACTGAATCAGACTAAATTTTAACTGAATGAAACCTAAAGCTCCTTTGCTTGTTTCACCATTACGTAGAGATTGGGGATTTGGGAACAAGATAAAAACAAAGCTAGACCAAAGAAGGGGGTTGGTGTTGTTGCATGCATAAGCTATACTGCAAATAAAACATGCATCTCACATACACATATAGCCAACATTTGTTGAATGCTAGTTATTATATTTTAGATTCTGGGCTAAGCAATTAAAACATAGCATCTCATTAAATCCTCCCACAAAACCTATGGAGTCTCCCATTATTATTGCATTTAGAAATGAAAAAACTGCCTTAGGTTAAGAATTTTGTTCAAATCATTCAACCATTTAATAGTGAAATCAGGTTTCAGACCCTTTCTCTTCATCACGAAGTTATACATCCTTTGTAACTATGACTTCACCTGGCATGTTACTTAAAATTTTATTTATTAAATGACATAGATCACATATTTTTCCTTGAAAAAATTTATAGTGAAAAGAAGAGCAATAAAAAATAACAGGCAAAGGGCACCTGGGTGGCTCAGTCAGTTAGGCATCTGACTTCAGCTAAAGTCATAATCTCACAGTTAGTGAGTTTGAGCCTTGCATCGGGTTCTGTGCTGACAGCTCAGAGCCTGGAGCTGGCTACAGATTCTGTGTTTCTCTCTCTCTCTCTCTCTCTCTCTCTCTGCCCCTCCCCCCCTCATGCTCTCTGTCTGTCTCTTAAAAATGAATAAATGTTAAAAAAATAACAGGCAATAGATATATCACTTTCAAGATCACATTTAAGGTTTTTAACCCAGATGTCTAGCGAATACCAAACAAGATGAAAACTCAAAATCAAGCAAAGAAACAAAAAACTTGGCAATTATAAGGTTGCACAGAAATATCCACATGCCCATAATGATATAGTTTTATAGGATCAGCATTTAAGACAAGTTTTCCATATGTATCAGCATCCTGGAGCCATAGCTCAGATTTCCTTAGACTACTTTTTTTTTTTTTTTTTTTTTTGCTTACAATATTTCTAAGACAAGTTTGAACATTTACCTGATACATACTGGAGTGATAGAGAACAAAGTGGACATTTCAGCATATAAGCCTATTCCTCTAAAGTTCTCCAGTGCCTTATCACTATTACAATAATGTCAATGTACTTCAATTAAAAATATGTACGATTAAAAGTATAAATAATGTGGCAATAATATAGTGACATTCACTGAATGCATGTCGCGTCCAGTGAACCATACGTCATGAGGATGTGATGGTTACAAAATTCTTCAGGTACAAAGTAGAATATCTACTTACTGCAGAGAAAACACTGTAAGAGGCACAAGGGAATCCAGCAAAGCCATCGGGGTTAAGGATGCTATCCAAGTAATACTTGTAGCTTCTTAAGTGATTACAGGCCACAAAGTCACGGGTCCCTTGGAAATCAGAAATGATTTACACCTCAGCAACAGATTTTATTTTTCCAACGTCATGATTAGAACACAGTTGTTGCGTAGATTTTTCTAATTAGTGTGAACTCATGGTGGGCACAGAACAAAATCATGGATACAGTGTATTTATGGTTTGTGATGTGATCAGAAGTTAAGTACTATTGAAAAATTTAATAGTAATGCCATAGCTAAACGAAATGGAAAAATAACTTTAGAAGGAAAAGACTGGTCCATATAGATATAAGTACAACTTAGTAATGCATTCCCTGAATTAGATCCTTGGAAAGTTGACTACAATTACATTTTCTTTCCTAGGGTCTCTTCATGCCCAACTTTCCTCAGTGAAAAGGCCATATTTTGTGTTAAAAGTCCTTCATTACAGAAAATGTGAGATCTGTACCCAAATACTTAGCAAATTTAGTAAAATGAAATACAAATGTTCCCCTAGGAAAATCTCTTCATGTCCATAATGGTTTTTACCTTCCCAGATCCCATCTATGTCAACGATCTGAGAGAGAATGTTCTTCTGACATCCGGGCATTTCTTTTCCTCCATTTGGAAAGAAATCTAGATGGCCTACGGTTTGGCTCATTCCAAACCCTGAGGAATTTTAAAATATGAGAAAGTTCATGTTACTGTATAGAGTCAAAACACTCTAAAACACTCTACTGTGTAGAGTTAGTAAACACTTGTGGAGGATGAATTGCAGAACTCACCCATGTTAGGGATTATAGGGGCAGCGTCTGTGTGAATTACATCCACAAACAGGGCATCGCTGGGGTCCAATCGGACTAAGTCGGGTGTGCCCTCAAAGCAAGGTTCAGCTGGATCCAACCCTAAAGTAGATAGGATGTATCATGTTAATATCAGTGTATGCATTCACCTTTCTTTGTTAATTACCTACCCAAGTGCAAGCACTGGTGGGAACCATGACTTATTTATGGAAAGAGATAAGGTAGTTCTTCCCTACCTTATCATCTTCTTCCACTTTCTGTGTCTAATTCACTATTCAAATTATAGCAAATTTTTCTCAAACCATGAAATTTGGCTCTTTTGTGGATGGTTAGTCACTGGGACAATCCAGGCCACTAGCGACAGTTCTAGGGAAAGAGCTAGACTCTGGGAGACATGAGACTCCTAAAAGCTGTTCAGGCTAAAAGAAGTCTCCCCTCCCCCACCTGCCCCACTCTCCTGTAAAATCCTATAAAGGCAAGGACTTCGGTAGTCATGGTCACCAGGACCACAACTTCACAAAGTGCCTGGCTGAGTAGGCTCTTGTAAACAGTCATGGACCACGAGAAAGAATGTTCTCTCCAGCAAATTAATGATAGACATCTGGATGCCCCCACCAATCCAAACATGAACCATTTGCCCAAGGTATTAAAAAAAAGAATCAGAAGGTTGGAGAGAGAGTGCAAAGATGGAAAAGAAAAGTGACTGCTCCCTGAAATAGTCATCTCTCAGATCCAGGATAGCAAAGTCTTTCCTATAAACTTACAAGGTCGTTTTAGGGCCTGAGTATATACAACATGTGGCCCCATTGGCCAGAAGCAATCAGTCTGAGATTTGTGGAATAATATTTTTTTATCTAACTAGCAGCCTGCAGGACTGATCAGCCTGTCCTAACCACCTGTATCCTGTAACTCTTAGCTCAGGGTGGGTGAGGATTACGCTAATTATCAATTGCTGTCAAAGCGTAATATAATAAATTATATATCTTGAGCTCTTTAGATTTAATTCTATTTATTATTTATTTTGTTATTTATTCTCTTTATTCTAGTCACGAGACTTGTCCTTTGTGAATGCCTGAAAACAGGAAAAGAGATGTGAATAAGACTTTCCGATGTTCTTAATTCAAATTTTAGTCACATGCAATATATGTGTGTATACACACACACACACACACACACACACACACACATATGTTAAACAGATGGGGGCACTTGGGTAACTCGGTTAAGTGTCCAACTCTTGATTTCGGCTCAGGCCATGATCTCATGGTTGTAAGTTTGAGCCCCGAGTTGGGCTCCGTGCTGGGCATGAAGCCTGCTTAAGATTCTCTCTCTCCCTCTCCCTTTGCCCCTCCCCTGCTTTCTCTCTCAAAAAAAACAAAAAAAAACCCAAAAAAAACCCCAAACAAACTAACAAAAAACCAGGGCTCTGTAGACCAAAGATCAATATTAGTAAAAAATTCGCAAGTCCTCAGAACATACTGATTCCCGATCACGTGGCCCAATTCAGAAAATGCCAAACTGCCATCCGTTTAGACCCCATGTAGGCAACCCTTAGTCCAATTTTTCAGCTTTTACTGTTTGACCAACCTGTGATTCGCCCAGCCGTCCCATTGATCCTCCTTCCTGCCTCTCCAGCTGCGTGGGCACCCAGACTGTGGCCAATGATGTGGACGTCGGAAGGTGAGTACCCAAATGCTGACTGTTGGAAAGAAAACTTCTTCAGAATGTTTTCAAATATATCAAAATTCAAGATGGCCACAGAAGAAGATCCCCTCAAACCTTGAGTTTTAAGAAGACGTGCTGGGGGCGCCTGGGTGGCTCAGCCGGTTAAGCGGCTGACTTTGGCTCAGGTCATGATCTCGCGGTACGCGAGTTTGAGCCCCGTGTAGGTCTCTGTGCTGACAGCTCAGAGCCTGGAGCCTGTTTCAGATTCTGTGTCTCCCTCTCTCTGACCCTCCCCCGTTCATGCTCTGTCTCTCTCTGTCTCAAAAATAAATAAACGTTAAAAAAAGAATTTTAAAAAAGGAAGACGTGCTGCCCCTTCAAAGCATCTGATTTTCACGGACCTTTCCCCCCCCAGTTATAACAGAATATGGCAATGGTTTAACATTTAAACTGGTGGAAGTAGGAATCTCTGTTCTTTTACTATGTAGAGGAAATCCTCGCCAGGTATAAGGAATTGTTACCCAGTGGTGCTGAAGCAAGTATTCGGGTTAGAAAATAATAATAAAAGCATTTACTTAAGCAAATTCCAGGTTAACATTTTTTAAGGTTTTTTGTTACCAAATTAGATTAGCTTGCTGTCATTGTGCTTCTGTTAAAAACATAAAAAAAAAAACAAAAACAAAAACAAGATAGTTTAACCTTAAGGTTG